GGGGGATAAAAGTTGATAGTGTTTTTTTTTTGCTTCTCATCCCATCTCGCGAACACGGAGCGTTGGTCCTTTTGGAAAAACTTCGCAAAAACTCCATCGTGAATTTTTCGGCAATGTTTTCTGCGAACGTGGAAGCACCCAATTTTACGAACGTAAAACCATCATAAGTGCTTTACACAAGGTGTTTCCGGTCTGTTTCTTTCTTCACTATTGGAACAGGTGTTAGTTTTTTAGAAGGTGTACAACGTTTGTTGCACGACATCGTAATTGGGATTTAAATTGATGGGATATTTGGGGAGTGGCTGTGTGATGGCTTGGATTTTTATGAGCGCTACGAGGTCTGTTAAATCGCGACCGCTGTTGTCTCCCTTCTTCGATGTGAACCATGCAGCTGGTCTCCAAAGGAAGTTTTTCAAGCAAGAGAGGGCTAATCCTCTAGTTCGAGCTTTGAAAAAGTGTATGCGTGGATTCCGACTTTGTGAGATACATTTCTCAGCCCCTTCTTGGTCTGGGTGCTTTTGCTTTCAGTTGGTTTCGTTCAAGTGATTGATTTTAGAGATTTGACTGGTCTAGAATGGAACCCGTTGGGAATATGGTCCCCATATAAGGCATATGATAACGGTAGCATTGATCAATGCACCACCTCCTGGACATGGATAAATATTGCACATGGTCTTGTGTAGGTATTATCGGGTCTGAATCAGGTTGCTGTTGAGGGGTTACATAAGCTCTTGTACAATAGAGATGTTGGGGGTCGTAAAATCCTCGTCAGTCCTCCTCTACGCAGATTGCGGTCGCCATAAATTTTCCACTCTTACTACAACTTCATCATTGAACACTTCAGAATTTTAAAAGTACGAGTAATACCGTCGTCGAATCCATGAGTTTACTTTTGGATTCAGAATCAGGTGATACCCGTGTGATATCCGTTGGAAGGCTCATTTTGCACCCTATAAAATTGAATATGCGAGCATTATCGCTACCGATACTGACCAAAGGCACATCACGAAAAAAAAACTCCTCTCTTTCTGGGAATGGCGTGCACTTATCTTAGAACTTGCTTAGAACGATTTTAAATCAGTTTGGTTTGTTTCGATTTATCATTCGATTACAAAAGCGCACTTTTTTCAAAAGACCCCTCGGATTTTGCGCCCACGTACTTGCCCCTAAAAGGTTCGGTCAAAAACGTTTTTGGGGACGTGTTTACCGGGAACGTTCGTTTCAAGTTGGTCTCGTTCCCTCTTGAAAAGACTTCTACATAACATAACTGACAATACTTCGACGGTCGAACTATGTGCTTAAGTAATGGCTGACATCAGTGAGTAGACAACAATTCAAATGAACCGACATTAAAGTGACGACAAGCATCGTTTTTGGCCGAAAGGCATTCGTTTGGCTGAAGATGGGCTGCGGGCGTGCGACGGCGGCACTTTACATATAATCCCGTGATCAAATTTATTTGGCTGCCGTCACGAGCACATCAATGCCGTCATTTTCCAGTGTCCCTAACTTTCAAAAGGCTTGCATGTGAAAGTAAAAACATTGGTAATTTATTCATTGGTTAGCCTCCACAAGTCGTTACATAGGCTAAACGTTTGTAAAGAAGTTCTGGTGATTTGGATAGAAAGATAAATACGGGCGTAAACAATGAGTCACCGAAGCTTGTTTTCTTATGATTGTTCCTTTCCTGGCCACTAGCCATTCAAATCAGATCATTCCAAATCATGAGTCTATGTGAGCGCTCTTTGTAAGATTTCAAAGGTGCCTAGTATTTTTGTATTTTGGGAGCGTACAAAGAATGCTTTTGATCGATTGCTTGATTTTCATTCTTTTCCTTTTATCAGTGCCTTTGTTTTCAGGCACCTACATAGTGCTTTGTGCAAAAAGGGCATTTAATTCTTGTACTTCTTGTTAAGATCGATCAGTGTTCTTCTTTTCCTGTGCAGCGCCTTTTTTCAGCCCACTTTTCTCTTTACGCTAGATTGTCACTCAATTCTCGTCATCTCGAACTAGCTTCTAGCTGTGTAAAAAAAAAATGGCACTTTGATGACCGTCACGATGTCTGGCGAGTAGTTGTTGGTGGTTTTCAATGTCTCAGTTTCTGCAATTCTCTGTAGTGTAAAAAGCTAATATGAAGCTAGCTTGATGGGTAAAAAGAGGATGATGGGTAGATTGACGGATAGAATAGGAGGTCTTACCGTTGAGGCTAGTTCAGTGAAATTTCTCGAATATTTCACCAGTAATTTGCATATTGGAGACCTCAATAATTGAATTCTATTCCATTAAGATTTATCACCTATTTTAATGTTCCCTTTCACTCTTTTAGTCCCTGCAATTCCTCTTCTCTTTTTCTCTTTTTTCTGTACCTTTCCATCCTAATAAAAGTTTTCTTATATGATGTAACCTTATCTTATGGCCTTCCCCTTTTCTCCTTTGGGTCTTCACAACATTTTCTTTATGTCTATTGCAAATTCTTAAACTTATTCGGTCAAAATGAAAAGTTCTTTACTTCCAGAAGCCGAGGAAGCTTGACTAAGTATTGACACACGCTCATTTCCAATCTGATTCAGAAATCTTGTACGCCAGTTATCGAAATACAAGCTGAATGATAGGGAAGGCAACGAAACTTCTTTTCATTCATCGATTTCAGTATCATGCAAAAATCTCTGCATGATAAAGTAATTTTTGTTTGAGCTTGGTCGAAATTGTCAAGTGTAGTGTGACTTGGAAAGGGCGAATATGACTGTCAGCTTTGTTTTCCATGCTGTACGTGATTGCTGTCGTCAATCGGTTTGTGATCGGCAGCATTGGCGGCATTTGCACAGCATGCGGGTCATCGAGGGGTTTACGGGAGTGATTTCTTACTACTGACTGCTCTATCTATATCGCTTCATGATTTTGTAGTTTTCCTTGAGGTTGAAGAAATCTTGATGGAGGAGAACCGCTATTGTGTCATCTCCCCGCAGAAAATTCACTTGTTTCCGCTCAGTTTGTCCCGAAACTGGTTCATCGTGAGAAATTGTGACCATGACGTGCTTACCCATAGTGAGCTGTTGGGATGGAAAAATTTTATCATCCATGTCTGCCTTGCTCTCCACTGTCTTTTCTATTTTTGAAGCATTTTACATCCCCAAGAAGCCTTTTACCCATAGATCTCTTACACTTACTCCGGAATCATTTGGGAGGATTACTTGTTGCGTTACTTCCACTGGTTCATAAAATGCAGAATTAAAATGTATCACGCCGTTCGATAGTTCTTACTTCGATGCCTTACTGAGACGATAGCATGATACAATTTATTTACCCATTTTAATGTGATTCATTCCAAATAGTTGAGAGATCAGAAGATCAGTTCAGCAAACTATTTTATCTGTACCTAAGTGTATGAGAAATTTTATGATTATTAAGTGTCAGCAGAACAGCAGATATGTTTCCTAAGATGTCAGTGGTTACAGAAAAGAAAGGGCGATATATTCTGTAGTCGACTCACGCCATCATGCGTTCGCTGTAAGGGATAGTCGCAGCGGGTGCATGGGTGCTCGTGAAAGTGCGTCTGTTAAAGACACAGTTCACGATAATTTGAGGTACCTTTTTTAGGTTGAAAAGCGGAAGTGTTGATGTAAAAGAGTATATCGGAGGCGAAAAGAGCGAGAAAACCCGCTGACTTCAAGGCTTTTGAAAAGTAGTTGAAATTGAGGTTATACGAGTTCACCGTGACGGTAATGGCATGTAAGGGGTGTTTGGACGAGATTTAACTTGCTCCCATTGCTCAGTGAGATGATTACCTCAAGCCGGAAATGTCCGAAACTGCTTTTCGCTGTCGCCGTGGGTTATGATGAGTTGTTTGAACTTCCTACACGGGAATCTCTTGAGATAGTGCAGCCTCTACAAAGCCGTTGAAACTCGTCCACGATGGGTGTGGCATTCACACGAAACAGTCTCTGGCCCCTTATTGTGCTCTATCCAGGCCGGTTTTCGACTTTATAACGACAGCTATGGTAGAAGCGAAAGCCTCGAATTTATGCTGTAGAGAATTTTCAGAAACCATTTTTATCGTGAAATGTGCCTTTGAGGAGGGGCCGAGATAATTCAAGCAATATGTGCCAGTTGCTTCTATTTTTTGGGTGATTGTTTCCAGCTGGATGATGGCCAGTAGCCAACACCTCACGTGCTCAACTGATCGCGTATAGTTGCCATGTACTGTTGTTTTGGGGAACGTTCAATTCCATCTTCAAGGGCATTCCCAGATGTAACTGAATAGGTCTGCTTTTCATTGTTTGTCAATCGTGATTTTTGCTTGCATCCCTCTATCCCTACTTATTTCGTTCTTTCAGCCAATAGGGTCTAAAGCTTCTTTTATTACTGGTGAGGCAGCTCATCACTAGCTATGTACATGCTTTAATGTGTCTGTTCCTTTTCAGTGACGGAAGGTCTTTTTTTAATCGCGCCGGCGATCTCTAACTATTATACTTCACAGCCTCGTCTTATCGTCTTGCTTTGATCGCTCTTTTTACTCTCGGGAGCTTCTAACCGGAGATCCTCTCTTCATTAGCTTCATCTCCTCCACTGGCATAAAACTGAAGGACAAGGGCTAGGAAAATCTGAGACCACTTGGAGCAGTTGCGTTCAGGGTTCGATAAGGACTGAATGAATGAATTTTTTCTTGTAATGCTGTCATTCATGTTCATTGAAAGTCATTATAGATAAGGTAGCCTCATCTCTATTCTTCTGAAGCATTTTTCAATCAGTCCGTTTTTGCTGTTATTTTTATTCTTCATTTTTTCTCTTTCTACAGTCTCAGTTACTGGAAAGTTCTTCGGAAGTCATCGAGCGCTTGTTTGAAATCGATGAAATGTAGTTCATATCTCTCGTATCTCCTGATTATAGTGCATTTTTGAGGATTTTTGATTATTTTTAAATTCAGTGACGCTCTTAAAAAGGGCTATTGCTACGTGTCGAATACGTTTTTATGAGTTTGCATTTACAGATATGTGGATGGAATGACGGAGGCGTTAAGTCTAGCTGGAATGCGAGTGATGTGCGAGGGAAAAGATCAGTCGGAATTCGTGTGGGTTTTCTTCAGGTTTTTAAATTCTCGGAATAGGTAGTTAGAACGATTTCATTTGTTTTTTTTTCGTTGTCGAAGTATTCACCCCTAGCTTGTGGAACTCAGAGGTATACTAAGTATGTGGTTAACTAAATGCGCTCGCTTGTTTACCCGTTTCTTGACTTCTTCCTGCGCCCCTCTCCTTGTCTGATCTTCGTCTCTTCTCCCTTCGCCTTACCTTTCTGTTTTTTGAGGCTTCCATCTGAAGATTTTTATTGCTTTCTTAAGTCATCACTGTATTTCCCAACGGAACATTTAAAAAAAGCGTTCCCTCCCGCATCTCCAAATTTTCGCTGGTTCATCCCTTTGGTGGAAAATTTTCATATTTTTTAGTTCCCTCCCTCTTTTTGTCGTTCAGACTTTTCCTTCCTCTTCCGTAACCCTCTAGGATGTCTAATTTTTTAGCGACTTCTGTCTTACTGTTCTTCTGCGCTCAATATTTTCCTTCCCTTTATTTTTGTTCTCATCTGTTTTTTGTGCTACTGGTCCGAACAGCTTTTCCTTATGTGTTCTCTTTTCCATTTTAGTACCCATCTCTCAGTATATCTCCTGAATGGCTCCTTATCTATTCGTGAGGTTATGCTGAACTGTCCGTTCTGAGTTTGAATGGTCTTTATGTACCCTAATTGATTCACTGCTCCACTNTTTTTTTTCTTTCCTCTCTCTTTTCAAGATCCCTTTCTATGAATTTTCTACCTCAGGTGTAAGGCAAAAATGCCAAAGTTTTAGGGGAACTGTAACTAATAAGTGACTTCTTCTCATCTAGTTTCTTTTATAGAAGCGAAGTACCATGCTCCCCACGAGGTGAAGAAATCTTGCGAATGAGACAGGAATTAGAGTGAGTGTTTTTCTAATCTCACCTGTTTCGTTTTTATCGAATGCATAAGATCGCCATCATGTACAGGCAGTTCTGAATGACGCACATGTATCTGGCCACCTTTGCTCTGCTGTTGTTACAAAACAAATTCAGGGCTGCTCGTCGGTCACTAGCCGAAAAAGACGAGAAGATGTGCCGATTGTCCCGGATACAGGATACCGTCGATGCCGAGGTACAGGAACTGACCGAGAAGCTTTTCCAGGTATACCATATTGTGAACCGGACCAATTCTTACAATTAGCCATAAATCGCATAAAAACCTGAAATATTACGCTTAGCCGCTTACAGGAGGCTTACCGAATGGTGAACTATGCCGAAGAACGTCGGGAGCGATCTGAAAAGCTCTTGAACGAGTCAAGGTTGCAGGTACGATCATCTCTGTTCCCGTTGATATAAAATTTTGACAAGCAACCCCTTGAGTACTGTGACCGCAGGATCATTTAAGTGGACGCTAGCATATAGATGGCGGGCTTAGGTAGACTATAGTGGTCTGTTTGGGTTGGGCTTTCTTGGGCTTTCTCCGAGGTACCTCTCTGTTTGTCTAGTGCATAGGTTTTTTACTAGGAACTTGCCTTTTTTTTCTGAAGAAGTCACCTGGAAACAGGTCGTTGTCCAACCACTATTGCTAAAAACCATAGGTAGTCAACTAAATCTAGTAAAATCACGATTATTTAGCCAAATGGTTTTTTATTCGTTTTGACCACTATATTTGTTAGGGGTTTATGAAGGTGTATTGCAGGTCGAAGTCCTGTCGGCTGAAGTGGCTGCCCTCAAACTACTTGTTCAAACACCTGGTATGGGTCAGAACCACTTCCAACATACGTCTCCTGAGCACAAATCGGCTTTGGCAAAGCTGTTTTCCACTAGTGAGTGTGGGATTCGCAGGAAAAAGCACTACGCTATCAATCCCTGGGTTTTCTATGAGGTACCTTTTTTCAGCCTCAGCTAAACGATCGAGTTCATCTGGAGCCGTCCCCACGCGAAAAGCGTCCACTTTGCCGCCAACGACGACTCACCTCCAACGCGAGAAGGAACGAGAAACTGAACAGAAACAGGCGGAAGCTGTCGAAGAAGTGAGTTTAGTTAAATATTTGCTGCAACTGCTACTCCAGGATCACGCGATGCTTCCTCATGCTTTTGGATAGCATTTCTTATAAATAAATGTGCAACAGATTACCGATCAGGTGGATCCGATACTGATGCTCGAATTCACATCGTGGCGTGATGCTGGTCATCCGTTGGCTCATCATCCCTTCATGGACCGTGTCAATATTGAAGAGATCGCGCCATGTATGCTGTTCAGTGCCAAAGAGGTTTGTAGACTTTATTACATAGACATACATGCTTTGAGAAAGGACTTCCGTGGAAAAATGTCGTGGGTGAGGATGACTTGTGAGATAGACGAGGTGAGTAACGTTTACATGATGGTAATCTGGTAGCGATGTAAGCAGAGAAAATGTGGGCAGGCTCCACGCCTGAACGTCAGATTCGTTTCTTTGAAGTTGCAAAAGTCGAGAACAGTAGAGTAAAAGTGCCATAGTTGACAATTGTCTCAATAATGCTTGTAGACTTCGTTTCTGTTAGGCGGCTACCAGTAACGAGAAGGTATTCATCATTGAGAGCAACTAAAGTGAATTCGCACACAACTCAAATTGTTTGATTGCGATATGAGCTACTTTGTTAAAATTACAATTTATGCATTTGATGCCAATTAAAACGATTTTTTCTTTTTTGCAGCTGTCCGACGCGGTTTTTGATTCCATAGCTGCGAACAAGCTGGAGCTGGAACCTGTACATGAAGATAAACCACATATCATGTAAGTGGCCTCTCAGTAAGTACTGCTTTGGAATTTTCTTGTAAAATATTTTCGTTGCTACGTTAAATTTATGCAGCTGTTTGTTAACGGAACCGATGAACTTTTCCGTATTAAAAGTCATCAGTTTCAGGCCTTGTGCCCTGACGAATGTTTCCCGATTCTGTCCATATCGAGTACGGGTTTCTGAGGATGCTCCATGGCATAGGATCTCCCTGCTGGCGCGGAATCGAGTATGTTGTTCAGGATTTCTTTGTAAGACGCATTTTACGATGAAGACAACCGCGTGGCTCAGTATTACTTCGTAATCAGTATCCTCTTACCTTCAAATGGACATTAGGTAACTTACGGGCAAGCCTTTTTACGATGTAGTGGGGTCTTGACACGAAATAAGCCTCGAACCTTGGTGGTTTAACTTTAGATATTGTCAAAAGAATTTTGGATTGAAACGAGTGAAATAACAGCGGGCTTTTGTCTTTGTTGTCACCTTGAGACCACCTTTACGTTCACTGCGTCTATTTATTTTATTACAGATAGCTGCGGTCTGTGACTACTTCACATTTATACGGTACTTGCGAGCCGGTTTGATCAAATCTGGTATTCGAGACGCATATTTTGATGTGATGCAGCTCCGGCGGAACATGTGTCTGGCGAAGCTTGGCCTTGGATTTGTGCCAAAAACCAACTTACGACCCGGTTTCTAGTCTTTTTTCCGTGCACATTGCACGCAAAGCTGATTATCACTCTGTCCTCCACTGTTCTGTTTCCCCGTGTCTTTCTTACTGGTTGCTGATGAGCTTTAGTTCTTCTCAATAATCAAAGGAACGTTAGTAAGCTGTCTTCGATAGATGAATATGGAAAACGTCGTTTTAGGCCCTAGTTATTGGCTTGAAAAGTCTGAGAAGAACTGAAGGGTATAAAGCAATACTAAAGCAATATCTCGACTAGCGCATGGGCAACTGTTATGTGCACAAAATTGATAGTTGTCCTGCGGGATTCTTGTTAATTCTGGCCATTTTCCATATATGTGTTTCTCACTTTGATTTCAGCCATGGTGGCTCAGAACCTTTATATATGATCTGAACTAAATTTCTCAAGCGATGCAGTCAGAGGGTGCTTTCACAGTTGACGTGCCGATCGACGGACGGCGTTGCTGGCCACGTGTTGACAACGCAGGACAGAATGCGTTCAGGGCCGCGTGAACGGTACGGCATTGTACGCAATCTGTCCTGCCGTGTCAATCCATGGCCAGCATCACCGCCAGTCGATCGGTCGGTAAGCCTGTCGTTGAAATCTGAAAACAGAGAACTCAAGACAGACCTGTGCGCCCGTGGCGTTATGACAGATTAGCACACGCTTTTGCGTGCTCTTCAAACCTCCCTGCTAAAATGCGTGTGTTGTTCCGTTTATCAAGTTGTTCTTTTTAATTGATCGTCATTCTTGATTCGTAAAATCGATAATCAATCAATAATGTCACCTCGTACATATTAGCAATACTCGAACTTCACTTTTCAGCATCTTTTTGATACTGTTGCATTTCTTTGTGTGGTTTTTCTTTCCTTCACCTAGCCAAATTCCTGAAATTTTTGCCATACATGTTTCTCTTTCGAGTCAGGGACGCAGAGTCAGTTTCTAGTGACCTGCGCTCTGAGGATCGAAGCTAATTGTTAATTTTCTCCTGGTGTGTATACAAAGGTGCTCGTTGTTCTTTCCGTTTTGTACAATTTGCATAATACAGCAATTCTGTTTCATATCGACACTTCTTAATTTGGTTTTCTCCAAAAGCTTATCAAAAAATTCCATATGGTTCACAGATCCTCAAAGTCCGGTTCTGTTAACCTGGAACGATGCAATGGAGGCATTCTATGGAGCGAAAAAAATCTGGGTGAAATTGGGGCCAGGTCGTCTGGTACGATGAATTCCAAGAGAAGAGGAGGGGAAGAAAGTCATCCACAAGCCCTGACAAACTGCGGGGGTCAAAAAGACCTAGCTGCCGAAAGAAGTTGAAAAGAGTTGTCAACTACCGTAGTGAAGGCAGAGTACGGAAATTGATGTGCCATGCGAAAAGCTCTGGGGTTGCTAAAGAGCGAGGTCCTAACTGGTCAAAGCCCGGAATTGGATCGCTGAAGATATCTGGGTACATTGAGCAGTGGGAGTCGTGAAGAACAGCGACGGTGCCATTCCGATGAGGCCAGCCGTGGTCACTCAACTGAAATCTCATCGCCTCTGATGAGTGATCCATTTTGAAGAACCTGCATAATCAATGATTTACTGGTGATTATCGGAACAGCAGACAGTTTCCACAATCTCAGCTGCGATTCCATGAATCTTCTTTGTAATTCTATCCAGCTTGGAGCTGTCCGGTGGTTCCCGTGAGGTGCTTGATTCGAAGGAGGCGTGAAGACTTACGATGGCCCATAAGCCGGCCATTGGAAAGATTCTGTTGTAGCACGAAAGGAGCTGCAAATAATAATCATACTGTGTAATGCAAAGTCACATGGCATGGTGTAAGCAATAATTCAGGGTAAATTGAGACCCGTTATGAACTGAGCCATTTGTTAGAAAGAAAAGTCGTCTTTGATGATGCCGAAGTTACGAATGCAGAATTGAGTGAACAATAATTAATGATATATTAGTGTACAGAAAAAGTTTGCTTTTATTCCTCACTGGCTGCGTATCTCACTTATCGCTGCTAGGCACGGTTGGGTCGCCTACCCTGTCGCACAATGTGAAGTATCAGTTTTAGATACTATATTCAGGGAGCTCCACCAACCTTCCTAGGAGTCATGACTAACGGCAGGACAGCGATCGTTCACGGGGCCAGCTGCATTGCCTAACAGTCTTGCTATACTATACTGTTTGGAACACCAAGTACTAGGACGGGCTCGATCCGTTAGGCGCGTGGGGTTTCTTGGATAGTTGTCCCACAGCTCGGTATGTTGGCCTCCGGGACTCCATTCGTTGATCTTTGAGGTCTATGACAAAATTGACTGATTTGTGCAAAACTCACCCAATCCGACGTGAAGGTCTGTTCCAAGCCAGCTATCAGAGACGTTACTTGCGTGCGATAGTACTCAAGAAGTTCGATAGTATGAACCTTCCTCTCTGATGCTGTCAATCCCGTGGTAAACAACCGTATAAGGTCCTCAACAGGGTTACCATAGTGTACCATCTGGAAAAGATTGTTGTTCATATATGACACTTTTCGATAGGCCAGAGTGGTTACATTTACTCTATTCACTTTCTATAGAAACTCTTCGCCTGCATAAGCTAGAAGGTAACAATCAGAAGGGCATTCTCTCCTGTCGAACCAAGATTTCTGTGGGCTCGTGTAAAAAAGGCATCCTGTAGTGTCAAGCTTGTTGTGAGAAATGGGCAATGAACTGTTTACAGAAACTGGGGAACGGTCTTGACTCCGTCAAATTATCGCCTACAGCATTGACTAGGTGAAATAACGGAAGAGTGTAGAGTGGACAATGATGCAGACTTTCGTAATTGATCGGTTGATTCTCCAGTACCAGCTTGTTCTCCACTCCAGCTTCGGTCACCTCTTGAAAATTCCCAAAATTCGATATCCCTATGGCAGAGTCGAGACATCATTTATCTTGCCTTCTGGGTTCTGATTAGTTGGTAAGTCAGATTCTAGACGAAGTAGGTGTATATTAGAACTGGGAAAGTGTTGGTCAATAGGTCACGAAGGTCCTTTTGATACTTGATCGGTCTAGAATGTTCTATCGATCTTCCTTTTTATTCATTTCTCACGCATCGATCATCCTAAATCCATCTTGCCGTTCTGGTTCCCTTTATTTTCGATTTTCTTTCCTTTCGATGTTCACATTTTGGATTCCCTTCTTGGATCGAATCTCCTCAGTTAACTAACGACTATCGACCTCTGAAAGACTCAGGAGAGCACTTTCATTCGATAAAACGCTTGTGGAGCCCTTCCAAGCTGCCAGTTCTCCGAATCATATTTGCCCTTTTTGTTTTGTTGTGTTTATTTTACGATTATTGTTGTATCAACTTACTTGATAATCGATAACGGCTTTAACCGTGCCATTTTGCCAGAGTATATTACTGGAATACAAATCGCCATGTACCAGAAGATGTTGATNCTTTCCTTTCGATGTTCACATTTTGGATTCCCTTCTTGGATCGAATCTCCTCAGTTATCTAACGACTATCGACCTCTAAAAGACTCAGGAGAGCACTTTCATTCAATAAAACGCTTGTGGAGCCCTTCGAAGCTGCCAGTTCTCCGAATCATATTTGCCCCTTTTGTTTTGTTGTGTTTATCTTACGATTATTGTTGTATCAACTTACTTGATAGTCGATAACGGCTTTAACCGTGCCATTTTGCCAGAGTATATTACTGGAATACAAATCGCCATGTACCAGAAGATGTTGATAGGCTGCAAAAGAAACGGTCAGGTATGGTTTTCTAATTTTATCTAGGCTAGTATTTGTGTATTCTAAAACTATTTAATTATAAAATTACGGCAGCAGAACTTCAACGATTATAAAAACAACTCTAATTATAATATTTTTAGAATATCGAGGGATTGTGAAGAAGACGAAGAACATCCGGCTACGTGCTGACCTTTCGACGCTGCTGTCCTTACTGCTTTGTCGTATACTTCGGAGACCTGGATTTATGGAAGAGGATGAGCATGCTGTCAGCGTTACTCAACGCGTTTTGGAGAGGAAGATGCCCGGAATCTTCCCATAGCCGCAAGTGCAGAAGGAAATCCATAGTTCCAAGCTCCGTCATCAAACGAAGAACAGGGATGCTGTTGATTACGCCGAGAAATTGAAGATCAGGTGGGCCGGAGACCTTATGCGATACAGTGATGACCGCTGGACCAGGGTTACTGACTGGATCCCTCAGCATGTCAAACCAACTACAGATGGTCAGACTTCTTCACGAAAGCTCTGAACGGACGGAATGCTGGACCTCGTAGCCCTGAAGCGAGGCGATCCACTGGATCACTCTGGCTCGTGACAGGGTGAACTGAAGACGTTACTGGCGCCCGCCCGAGAAGTCGATGATCAACGGGATTACAGGTGACTCAGGTGAACTCCAATTCTTTTATCAAAAGATAGGGATTAGCGTAGCTTCAAGGAAGTGGTGGTGGTGGATTGAAGAAGGGGTTCAGTCATGCACGCGATCGAGGGTTTCTAGCTGAAACATGCTAACACTACCCTTTACGTCCTTTACGACATTTTCTAATCTGATTCCAAGAGATAACATAACCTTCAACAATAGCCGGACTTTTTGAAAAATTGTTTCCACGATACCGGTATTGGATCATCTAGTAGGATTGGATAAATCCTGTAACGTGAAGAAGGAGCCTTCNATTTGTTATTTCTCAGTAACTGACTTTGATTTTGCTTAAATCATGATTCCATGTAGGTGGGGTTCTCACCCATTGTCCTTCTCGCTTTTTTGAAATTATCTAAATTTTACCTATCTTTTTGGTACAAGTTTGCAAACTAGGGCCAACAGGAATGGCTAAATGTCATCAAATTGAAAGGATAACTCCTCAGATATGACTACTGCGATTGTGGCGAATCACTTGAATCGATATCGAGATCAACCTCATTGAGTTTTTCAAATGTCTCGTCCCAATCGTGATTTTCAATTGTATTCTTAGCATTTACAACCTGTGGACCCTCCTACTTCTGGCTCCTCCCCTGTAAGTCCAACCTACTCTACCGACCAACGATTTTTTAGTCGAACATGTATGGTAACCGTATTCTAGAAGAAATTTGGCCGGTTGATCAGTATGACGTTGCCACTTTCCGCAGCGCTTTGTTTTGTGAATCTATACTGGAAGGCATCCTGTACGATATCCGCCCAGGCCAAACAAGCCTTTCATCCTTTCGAGGTCGTAAATTGTTACCAGACTCGTTTGGGAAGATAAAAGCACGGACTTGTACATCGGCTGGGCACCGCTGGTCAGTGTGTAGACCACAACCCATCCATTTAGAATCGCAGTGGTTGACCGTATTCGATCTGCCACTACGATTCTGAATGGAAGTCAAATGCAGAGCGTACCCCTCTGACGGGTTCAATCAATTACAAAACCTATGTGCACTGAGGTATATTTTAGAAAAAGCAGTTCGAAATTACCTACGACATTCGGAATGCAGTCGTGTGATTAAATGATGATCGAGGATCTTTGGCAGAAGTTTAACAAGTTTTTGAAAGGTTGACGAAATTTCTGGCCTCCAAAGTGACATACGATTGAGACGTTGAGTAAGTGTCTGAAAAAGTTTAGCTGCACCTACTGTCATGCCTTCCCTTTTTGGCATTCAACAGAGCCATATTAGAGGATATCTTGTCAAGTAGTCCGATTATTCATTAGTTAAGGAACATTGTGAATAGGGAAAGTACTCCACGAGCTTGCTGTACGTACGTCACATTTCCTGTCCCTCTAAATGTTCGGGCCTTTATCCACACTAATTCACGTGCTCATCTCATGCCTGCCTTTACTTTCTATGGTATCGTCCATGACCAGATGAAACGTACATGAACGAGAGTCAACCCTTTGTTCTCAAAATGTTCACATATTTGTTACATCATCGTCTTCCCACAGCTTCTTAATATACATTCTTATCTTTAATAGAAATATTCGTGTCGATAGTTATTAGTAATGTTAACAAGGTTCGATCGAATTCCCTTGTATGGATAGGATTACCTCCAAGCTGAGTGTAGTCGGTGAGAGCAGCTCGAAAACGTTGGTATTCAGTCGGGAGCGAACACCATCAGGTACATTCGCGCAGCCTTTTTGGATGTTGGCATATAGCGTGAGAATCTGCAAGCGTAAACTTAACATCACTCTCAAAGCAAATGACTTGAAGGGTGAATAGAAATCTAAAAATTTGAAAGTTCTGTAAAAGATAAATGATAGCGACACTGAAATACGGCGTATGCAGTTTGTGAAATGTCGACTAGTTCGACGTTTCACAGACTACATACGACTTCCATTTTAAATCGTAGTGGCTTCATATATTAGTATATGCACTGGTTTGTAGCCACATTCGCCACCCACATTCGCACAATAACTTCTCCCCTTAACTTCTGAGTGGGTGCTGAGGTCGGTAATCATTGGATTTCGTACACATTCAAAAGCGTAAGTAAATCTGAATCAGTTCTTCGTCAGGGCATTATGCTAGCGCATGGAGCCAGATATAGGCTTATTGAGACCTGCTTGCCTAGCTAGCAAAGATTACAGTTTGGCTATGATTGATGCTCTAATTCTTCCTTCCACATCGAATGATATGTCATTGGTTTTCTCGGGGAACCAGTCAGATTGCTTCTGGCACTACCTCACCATAAAAAGAAACAAATAAGTATTGAAAAAATGTTGAATGGATAACCCTGTGCTTTCTTGAGTACTGGTGACATATATTTCGATTAGTAAGAGAGAACTATAATCGGAAACGATTTATACGGGACTGTAGCCCTTTTGGAAATAATCGCGTAGGCTTGATTGGACTTATACATGTTTTGGTGATACCTATCAAAGAACTGCTAATAGTGGATTGCATTGTTCTGAGGTTACCGTTACGGTTGAGGATTCTCATATGATGGTTGACCTCAATTCACTTTTCAAAGTAAAAGCAGATGAGGGGTAATGCTGCTTTAGTGTGGTTACCATTGTCGGATGGCTGAACGCATTCCGAAATGAGGCTGACTACCTTCTGAAAGCTTTACCCCTTTTCGACTTTCTACCTAGCCAATGAACAGTCATGAGCTTATGATCCATAAGAACTGACCGATTTCATTTCGTCAATGGAGATGTACTCGTAAACAGGTCGGGTACGGGCGTTCTCCAAGTACTCCATACAGATGATTCCTTGACAGTCACTTGCGCTCAGAGGACGACTGAGGAATATCCGTGGGACCCCAGTGACACCTCGAGCATGTTGGTAGAATAATGTTTCGGTATTGTGGTACTGAAACACAAGTATCTACAAAAGTTGAAATTAACAGCATATTGTACTCTAGCAGGCGACTATCAATGTTCTGAATCAGAAAAAAGTGGTAAGTAAAAGTAAAAGTAGTAAAAAGTAGTGTGTATGTTAACGAAGTATGAAGCAATAGAACCAATAGAACTACTGGATCGACTCGAGCGTTCATAGTTTCAGATAGACGTGGTATGGGCGATTGCAGCGCTTATCTCAGTGGCACGCGTCGCTGCAGGTTGTTTTGGAAGTGGAACACTCATGTGAGTTTACTTTTTTAGCACTAGATCATTTATAACTAGATGATATAGGCAATTATTGAGAGTAAATCAATAAATTATATCATATGCCAATAAAGGGGAATATTAACTTTATTGAGCTGATAGCGTTTAAACGTCCATTAATCCTAATGGTGAGAAGTAACATACCGTAATAAGCAAATCTCTGATGTGGGAGTAGTCGCCGTGTGTCCAACCTCTCCTCCGTCGATTTTCCACGTAGGTCAGGCATGTTGGAATCTGAAATTAAAGGCACAGTTTTCGATAAAAATGGTTATCGAGATTTCCTCATAGGACGAATTCGAGACCCCTTATATACTTTATTTGGCGCTATAAGGTCGGAAAACGGCCTAGTTAGGGCGTTATTAAGGATCACAGATTGGACCGTGTGTATCCTCGGACGAGTTTCACCGGCATTGCAGTGGCTGCACCATTCAAAAAGGTACCAATGTAGGAGGCTCAAGCAACTTGTCATGACCCACAAAGACATGGAAAGGCAGTTCTACGCATTTCTGGCTTGCTGTAGTCAGCTTTTTGCGCAATGGGGACTACCAAAATCTCGTCCAAATACCCCGTCCATGTCATTTATCTCATGGTAATCTCGTACAGCCTCCATTCTCACCACTTTTGAGGAGCCTGATTTTTTGCGGAAGTTCCCTCGCTTCCTTACCTTCGAGGCACTAACCGCAACCATTATTTCCGGTTTTCGACATGAAAAGGGCTCCTCAAAACCTTTGCCTTCAAACTAATCCTACAACTTGGATTGGGCGCCATATTTGGTGATTAGCGTGAAGCGCATGAGGTGAGAATGATGCCTTTCCCTTCGTCTTTTCCTCTAACTCCTCCCCTTAGCTTCCCTCTTTTGCTTCCTCACTTGAGAGCGGGATGCTCCGTATTATAGACAACAGGAAACTAGAGGGAATATTGCTTATTGAATCCACAGATTAACCTAGGAGTAGAAGAAGGGTCAAATGATACCGTTTTCTACATGGCAAACATACAAACAGGAGCATAGGATTAAGAGTGGGAGAACCATTCATTGCTACATGGGGTACTACCCGACCCTCACGCCCTCAAACCATGAGTTCAGTCAGTGGAGGGTTTAGTGATGTAGGGAGGGTTGATCGAGTGATCGAAAACAGTAGAAAACATCACCTCACTGAAGGATGATCCTGAAAAAAAGAGTAGGAAACTACGTAGATCATTCGCTTACCTTGACGACAAATTTTTTTGGTACACGCCCGTTACTTTCGCATTCCATCAGACAAACACGTGAGAATGAACCCTAAAAGGTTTCTGTAAAATATGCAAGAATAATATCATCTTCTTATATGTTCAACCAGATAAAACAGATAAAACACACAAGAAACAAATGGATGGTTTGACTAATTCTTTCGTATGGTTCTTAGTGCAGGTCATTGTTTTTGAGCTGAACTTACCTCAGTCTCACCAATTCTTTGGAATTTCAGGTGGGATATCTGGACGCCTTGACAGCGGGCAAACTCATCGATTATCCACTCTTCAGTGATAAATGTACCGAATAGTCCTTCAGCCGGTTCGAACATTAAATGGAGTAAAAGTGAGTGTTTTGAGCTGGAACTCAGTTAAGGAGGCGTGAGATAACATGAAAGAGCGTCGATTTTATGAATGCAAGCGCTGCGTATCCAACAGTTCTAGTGCTGCACGATATTGCATGAGAATTAGATAGACAAAGGGATTGAAGGCGAGGAGGCGATGGGAGTCACAGCGTTTATGAGTATTTCAGAGAGCATGAAAATAAAAGAAAATGTTTCATTGATAGGTTTTTCGGCGAGTTACCTATCAAGCAGTAAAATGGGGTGGTTCACTGAGCATTGAACTTTTTTGGGATGTTCGATTGATGAAACTCCCATTGTGAACGGCAGTGTCGAAAAAAATACATGAAATGGGAAATGCAAGGGGAGAGGAATGTATTATCAATGCCGTCATTGTCAGAGCGAAAATCAATATAGCCGATATAACAAGGTCAGCAGAAAGAAAGATGACGAGCTGTTGCAGACGAGAGAAACATCGAACGCGAAGAGATGCAGCAGAATGAAGAGTAAAGGATACAGGAACAGACGAAGTAACAGTAGAATCATGCCAAAAATAATAATCGTATATTGGAAGAGTTGTATGAAGACAGCTCGACTTGCAAAAACGAGGCAACTAGTCCGCGACTGCTGCGTGCGGCGAATCTTCACAGCGAAACCGATTCAACTGCCCGTTTCCCGAATGAAAGTACTGCTTTGTTCGATGACTGGCATAGGCACCCAAAGCACTACGATTAAACATGAAGTCAAAAGCTGAAGTATACTCAGGAAAGAAGACCAGCGCTGTAAATTGGGAGACGGCCCGGCCTACCGCAGATCATCTATTATCTGATTCGCTGATTTTATCCTAAAACTTGCCCATTTTCCCAGTGTCTGGGCTTTGCTGAAACAAAATTATTAAGTTCTTCCCAATGCATCGCAACTTCGAAATGTTGCTTTCGTGCTCCGATGCTTAGATATATCCGATAATGAGCCTGATATAATGATGACCGTTGGACCAGGGCGGTTACTGACCGGATCCCTCGAGACGTCAAACGAACTCCAGGACTGCCGCCATCGAGATGGTTAGGCTTCTTCACGAGGGCTCCGAACAAAGAGAATGTCAGACCTCGCGTCCCTTAAGCGAGGACGATTCACTGGACCACTTTGGCTCGTGATTGAGACGAATGGAGACGTTACTCGAGGAAGTCGATGATCAACGGGATGACAGGTGATACAGGTGATGAGCTCGAAGACGATAATCAAAATAAATGTCTGGGAATATGTCCAGGAAAGAAGGCGATATCAGTGTTTTCGTTCTGTAGCTAGGTTTTTCTGTACAGCAGACAATGTAGATCTTCATAATTAGTGCAAAAGACAAAAAGAAGCCCTTCATGGATAACGCTACCCTCAGGGGTTACCCAGCAAGTCGTACAATTTTTGTTCTATTCCTTTGGAATTCGATGAGTCAATTTTCCTGTGGAAAACCGGATTCTCCATCTAGTTGATTAAAATTTCTTTTGAACCTCGTTCACACCGCGCTCGCTTACATGTTTGTTTACGGATAAAGTGTCTGCCTCTAAAGAGTTGTTACAATACACCAGTTTTTGTTTAGGTAAACAGGTGTCCAGTATGTGAAGCTCTAGAGGAGGAATTAAGTGTATCAAAGACTAGTATCCATGAATCACACAAAGTCAAGTACACTTTGGCGTGTTGGTTTTACAGATACTATGAAAAACCAACACGCCAAAGTTTGCTTGGTTTCGTGTTATTCTTAGATTTTAGTTTTTGTTCCACCTATTCCACCAGTTTGTTCCACTTACATCTTAATTTTGTAGAGCGGCATTCGAGGTCCTTTTCAGCTGATATGAGAGCTGATCATCAAAGAGCTATCAGGTTTTATGGTGGAAAATAGCCAGTAACGCATAAAGGCGTGTGATCGAACCCAGATGATTGCTGTAAGATCAAGGATACCTGTTGAAGTTAAAGTCTGATTTTCCAAATCAGAATTAATGTTGTGGGAAGAAGTTCCGATGGAATAGCAGTGATACCAACATCAGAACATCCTTAAATGCCTAACGAAGAATGATTTTTCGCCGTCAATCGATCCATTTCTGAAAATTTTCATTTGTAAGGTTAACATTGGGTAAGCAGTGGCGGTCGTGTGCGTAAGGGAAATGAATTGCGAGTTGCAACGAACAGGCCACGTTTTATTTTTGGGCCTGGACCAATTTTGTAATAAATTTTTTGGCTGGGGGAAACAAGATTTCCTGTCCTCTCCGTAGCTTCCTAACGGACCGAGTTTCGATAATAATTCAGTGTCATGTGGTATAATTAATAATACTGTAATCAAATATTTTGTAATAGTCATTTGTGTAGGCGAAGGTGGGGTAGTGGCAAGTGGTGCACTGTCTCACACGCATGGTCAGGGGTTTGAATCTCGGATTGATATCCGCCTGGGTCAACCAAATCTTCCATCCCTTCGGAGTCGCCTAATTGGTACCAGACTCGTCGGGTAGGATAAAAGCAATGACTTGTACATCAGTTGGCCACTGCAAGTCATTGTGTAATCCACATACGCACTCATTACGCTACTACGATTCTGAATGGAAGTCGAGTGCGGGGCGCAAGCCTCAGACGGGATCGATTAACGCCAAAAACTTTATCCTTTACTTTAATTATTTATGAAATGCCTTAATAATCCATTAGATAAAAATATAATGTTATACAATATAACTCTCAAATTCTGTTGACCGCTGTCTTGCCTTCCGTTATGACTGGTCATGCTGTGCTGGTTCTCGCGTCTTTCACTTCTGCCATTGGCTGACCAATTCGGTTGCTCTCCAGTTGTCCAGAAATGCTGCGAACGATTCGAAAAATGTATATAGAGGAAAGCAAACAGTTTGGTCAGTGTGCGCGAACAATGAGAGCTAGTTGACCGCGGGCGTAACGCAAGCATCGCCAATGACCATGAGTGCTTGACGTAATCGTCAAGCGCATTCGGCTACCGGTCCAACACTACGACCCCCAAATCTCGGTTTCCTGTCATCCTGTCGCATTCGCTTCCGTTCAATCTCGTTTGGTCATTTTTCCTTCTCTTTGGGATCATGACACAGTATTTTCGAGATTTTTCTCTGAGACCTAGGACTGTAGTTTATGTGTGACCGCCACTATGCCGCTATATGCTCGTCGTGGGACCAAATTGCACCACGAGCTGGCTTTCTATTTAACCTCAAGAGTTCAATGGCATCGTAATGTTCTTAGGTAAAAGGCGAAAGCGGTGTAGTGGCAAGTGGCGCGCATGGTCTTATCTTCGCATCTTACACGCATGGTTACGGGTTCGAATCCAGGATTGATATCTGCCTACGAGGTTGGTTAAAGAGTACCGAACTGGGACTCATCTGGGAAGATGAAAGCACTGACTTGTACATAAGCTGTCCACCGCATTCATGGTATTGGCCACATACGCATTCGATACGCCTTTACGGTTCTGAATGGAAGTCGAATATGGGGCGCACTCCCCATTAATAAGTGCCCCAATAGTTTAGGACTTGAGACTATGAAGATCGGCTCTCTCCATAAATGCCTTTCATCTTCCCCTTCATCTGCAGATTTTTTTGACTCTGCATTTAAGAAGGATTCGCGGCTCATAGCTGACAAATAATGAATAAACAGAAAGGGTTTTCTTCCGATTCGTTATTTAAAAAAAGCTAATTCATTCCTGTCATGCTTCCATTAGGGTCTTCAAAGATGGTTAGATCCAGTGGAGTCTCCTCTTCGTACGGATACGAAAAGCTTCATTGCTATTTTTGAGATTTTCATGAAGATTTTAATCATCTGGGCAATAACCCTCTAGTGTTTGTTTGACATCCCGAGAGATCAAGCCGGTAACGTCTTGAGTTCAGAGTCATCTTGTGGTTAGTATCGAGTGTCGAGTCGTTCTTCCTTGATCTCCAAGTCTTTTCGGTCTATGAGCCAATGTATCCGATCTTTGATCGTTGGCGGAGCTCAAAAGCGCGGATTCCTCTGCACTTGAGTGTATTGAGAAACTCCTTCTACCGCTAACTTTTCAGCGCTGGCTGCGTACCCATTTGCCTGCTTCTGAAGGCTTCTGAAGCATAGTCGAATCAAGGAAGGCTGCCATCTACAGAAAGTTGAAGATGAAAATGGGAAATCTTTCTTTTTGTGATTTCCACGGCTTGAATAAATAATCAGCATTGACTAGGCGTAAGAATTTGTCAATAATTTATTTATTTATTAATTATTTACTTATTCATTTCATACAGTCTGATGTGTGCCAAACTAGAGGACAAAAGTCTCCATTAGTGCTTAAAGGCACCGTTTGCGATAAATTTAGGGTACCCTTTTTTGACGGGAATTCATAGAACTACTCTAGAATAAAGCGATAACAACGAAAAAAGCGCAAAAAACGATGAACAAAAAGAAATAGAAAGGGTCAAAAAAG